AGTAGTAAAAGACTTATTTATTCAGACAAACTACTTAATTTAAATTATTTTAATTAACAGTAGTAACAATATGTTTTAGTCAGACAAACTACTTAATTTTGATAAATTTCATAACAGTAGTAAAATATGTATTTAATCAGACAAACTACTTAATTTCGACTACACAGGAAAAAAAAGTCTGACTCCGTTTACACCTTAAATTCAGCCCATGTATTTCACATAAGTCTGTCCTTGTTTAACGGGGCTGACTCCGTTTACATCATAAATTCAGCCTCAAAAAGAGGCTGAAAGTAAAACTTTTTTTTTAGTGTGTAGTTTCATTAGCAGTAGTAAAAATCGGTTTTTGTCAGACAAGTTACTTAATATCGATTATTTTCATTAAAAGTAGTAAAAGTCAATTTTGATCATACAAACTACTTAATTTAGATGATTTTGATTAACAGTAGAAAAAAACGTATTTAGTCAGACAAACTACTTAATTTAAATTATTTTAAATAACAGTAGTAAAAATAGGTTTTGGTCAGACAAACTACTTAATTTAGATTATTTTAATTAACAGTAGTGAAAGTCGATTTTAGTCAGACAAACTACTTAATTTTGATAAGTTTCATTCACAGTAGTAAAAATCGGTTTTAGTCAGACAAGTTACTTAATATCGATTATTTTCATTAAAAGTAGTAAAAGTCAATTTTGATCATACAAACTACTTAATTTAGATGATTTTGATTAACAGTAGAAAAAGACGTATTTAGTCAGACAAACTACTTAATTTAAATTATTTTAAATAACAGTAGTAAAAATAAGTTTTGGTCAGACAAACTACTTAATTTAGATTATTTTCATTAGCAGTAGTAAAAATCGGTTTTAGTCAGACAAGTTACTTAATATCGATTATTTTCATTTAAAGTAGTTAAAGTCAATTTTAATCACACAAAACTACTGAATTTTGATTAGTTTCATTAAAAGTAGAAAATGTAGGTTTTAATCAGACAAAATACTTAATTTCTATAAGTTTTATTAACAGTAGTAAAAATAGGTTTTAGTCAGACATTCGAATATTAAATTCTCTTGGTTTCCATTTCAGTAGTATAATCCTGTTATAGACAGACATTAACTTTTTCAAAATTATCATTTATTGACATGTAAAAAGATTATTAAAAATTTGATTTTAGACGGATAATTCTACTTTCAGTAGAAAAACTTAAACACTATTATAATTCATAGTGATTAGATTTGTAGTGACAGTAGAAGAGATTTAAATTTAGTCAGGCGTCTATTACTAATGTTCTCGAATTTCGATCCAAGTAGTGTAATAGCGTTTTAGCCAGACAAATGATTCAGTTGCAATTTAATCGGCATTAGTCTGACAAAATTTATTAGTACGTGTCGGTTCATTCTCGCCAGTAGTAAAATACATTTTAGTCAGACAAATTCGATTCCTTTTAATTTTATTTCAATAGTAAAGAACGATATAATTCAGATAATTGATTGCCTAGTAGTAAAAGACAATTTCAGTAAGACATCTAGTAACGAATTTTCGTAATTTTCTCCACGCAGTAGTAAAACACTGCTAGAGTCAAACAATAAGTAATGATTTATTCTATTTCCATTGGCAATTTGTATAGTCAACTAAAATAATTTTTAATTTTATTTATTTATTTTTTCATAAGGGGGAATTGTCAATCCTCTTTTTTTTAATTAAGACACCTCTTCCCGTGTAGAAATTTCGCTGGGGCCCTGATCAGGGCCGGATAGGGCCGACCTATTAGGGAATGAAACGCCGCGCCCGATGTGGCCCTGATCAGGAAATCCACATTTTCTTGTCGCCCCGATCTGGCCCTGATCGGGCGCGGCGTTTCATTCCTTACTATGGCCCTAGTAGGGCAATTTCTACACGGGTTTCTGTAAGAGAAAATTAGTTTCGTCTTTTATGAAGTAGAATTATTATTAAAAACTATTTTACTTCTTTAATTGTGGATTTCGTCTGACTGTAATTTGACTCGTACTATACTTAAAATAATAGTAATAATATTTTTTAATCCAACTTTAAGTAGTAGGAGTCAAAGCACAGTCAGACAAAACAAACGTAAAGTCAGACTTTCAGTTTTTATTCCGATCTTAAGTAGAAAATATCAATAACTGTCAGATAACAGTTATTATTCCTAATATATTCAAACTCACTATTACCCCAAGTAGTAAATTGAAAAACTCAGTCAAAATTGTACGAATTTTATCATCAGTAGTAGAGGTCAAATTTAGTCCGATAATGCTCGTATTTTTACTACCAAAAATTTTTAAATCCAATTTTTCCTTTCCTTTCTTCATCATCAACATTGATTTATTAAATAGAAGTGCAAAAAAAGTAGAAATTTTTTTTATTTACTTCTCGATACATTTTTTTTTATCTATCAGTGAATTATTAATTTCCGGTTAAATATCGATTTTCTCTATATAGGAAAACAAAATGTTCTATGAGAGAATTTAGTACGAATAGAGTTTTTTTTTTAATTTCGTTTGTCAATGTAAAAAAAGAGAGTGTATTACACTCTGAAAATTCGTGAAACAAGATAAAAAGGTGACAAACCAGTGAAAAGAAAATAAACAAATGAAAGGCTAGTTATTCATGATTTTGATGGATGGTGCATATATATATATAAACTGAATCGATGGCAAAGGGTATAGTATATATATTTTGCTTTAGTAATTTTTTCCATTTGAATGGTTGCAAAAAAATGAGGAAAAAATTGTAAAAAGTAAAAAAAATAACAGATACTAGTGCATATAGTAACGGACAAGATTAGGTCACGTTTGTAACTATATATGTATATACTATACGATTGGTGAAAAAAAGAGCTTCACGACCATCACTCATTTATAAACGTACCGTTAACGAGTTTCCATCATATGCGCTTGAAAAGTACGTGAAGCAAAATCCTATCTGAATCTCTGGGCACGTGTCAGACCGTAAGCGTATTAACATTCCGTTCAGAACGTCAGATACAATGCATCAATGCATTCGTATCGAATTTCATTGAAATGCTTTCGTATATATGGCCTCTGGCTACACTGAGTGAAGAATATCGCAGTATATTGAGAAATCTCTCTCTCTCTCTCTCCCTCTATTGGTTACGCAACTATATACGATATCCAAAGGCAATTATTCCCCAGTAAAGAAATTCCTTAGTGGATTACGTTTCAATTTTTTTTTCATTTTCATTTTCATTTTCATTTTTCTTTTCTTTTCCTTCGCATCAATCAATCGACAAGTTGAGTTTTCGATCCTTTTGTTCTTCTCATTGAAATATATATTGTCTGACGGTAATTTTTATTCAGTTATATTTATAAAGAAGGATGTATTTATTGAATATTGCACAGAAAGAATGGAGGAAAGATAATTTTTTTTAAAAATGGAATTTTCTTTTTTTTTATTAGTGTTTAATAGTATTTTATTGATTATTTAACTAGTGTGTAAATTTAATTAATTGAATGCAAACTCTGAGAGAAGTTTATACAATTGCTTTTGAAATCATACAGCAGTTGACACTATTATTTGAATAATGGAAATTTCATTTAAAACATCTGATGTAAAAAATATAAATATTTTTTATAATTTTTGTCTTAAAACATCATTAGAAACAATAACTCTTGTTTGTACTTTCTTTTTTATTTGGATACAAGTGTTAAATAAACACACAAGAATTAAAAACATAAAAAATTGTTATCGCTTGTATTTTTAAGATTATTTAAATTTCCATGAATTTTTAAATATTTATTAGGTTATGTAAAGTTTTATTAATTGCCTACAGTAAATGAATTACTTAATAGATAATAGTTAAAATATTATTAACAAAAACGTTGCGTTATTAACTGTGGATTACGTCTGACTATACTTAGACACATACCACTTAAAATAGAATTTTTTTCAAATAAATCAATAGAATATAATGTTTTTAATTTTACTTAAACTTTAAGTGATGCGAATCAAGATAGTGTCGGACAAAAAATCAACAAATTAAAATATAAAATTTTTTTTACATCCATACTTTTAGTAGTACAAGTCAAAGTACAGACATACAAAACCAACATGAAGTTGAATTATTATTATTAATAAATACTTTGCGCTTTTCATTTAGGGATTTCGTCTGACTATACTTCGACACCTACTACTTTAAATTATGTTTTTCTCAATAAAAAAATGGAATATAAGTTTTTTAATTATAATTAAACTGCAAGTAGTACAAGTCAATATATAGTCGGACGAAATCGTAAATTCAAAATTAAAATTTCTGTTTTTTTTAAATTATTATTATAAGAATAAAATAAAATACGATATTCATTCTGAATTTCGTCTGACTATACTTTGACACATACTACTTAAATATGTATTTCTTTAAAAAAGTAATAAAATATAATAGTAAGAATTTGATGTAATCGATCACACTGAGTCAAGGAAGTTAAAAATTAAAAAACTCTCTTTTTACGTTTCGACAGCGCTGCCGTCCTCATCAGAAACTACAATTTATTAAAAAAGTTAAAAATTATTACAAAATTTTGTACATTATTAATTAATTTAAATCTATAGTAATAGAAAATTACCAGAAAAAAGAATATATTTACGCGTTCACATTATTGAAATAACGTCCTACACGCTATAAGCGAAATGTGACACTGAGCAAACAAAATATTAAGAAGTAGACATATACAAGAAAAGAATCGACGATGAAGGGTCAACGACATTTCAGTAAACAGAGAAATTAGGTAATAAGAGAAATGTCAGAGCATCAAAATATGACAAGATTACGAGTATTTATTTTCATTGAGAAAGTGTGTATAATAATTATTAAGATTTTGTATGTCATCCCTTTTATTAATCGGGTTAATTTGTAAATTAATATAAATCATTTCTGATATTAAACGTTTTTTGTAATTATCCTCTCTGTCAAGAATTGCAAAATTAACAAAATCTAAAATATATATCTAATCTAAAATATAGTTGCACATCATTGTGATTCTTTAAAACACAGATTTGATTTTGTTAATTTTGCAATTCTTGACAGAGAGGATAATTACAAAAAACGTTTAATATCAGAAATGATTTATATTAATTTACAAATTAACCCGATTAATAAAAGGGATGACATACAAAATCTTAATAATTATTATACACACTTTCTCAATGAAAATAAATACTCGTAATCTTGTCATATTTTGATGCTCTGACATTTCTCTTATTACCTAATTTCTCTGTTTACTGAAATGTCGTTGACCCTTCATCGTCGATTCTTTTCTTGTATATGTCTACTTCTTAATATTTTGTTTGCTCAGTGTCACATTTCGCTTATAGCGTGTAGGACGTTATTTCAATAATGTGAACGCGTAAATATATTCTTTTTTCTGGTAATTTTCTATTACTATAGATTTAAATTAATTAATAATGTACAAAATTTTGTAATAATTTTTAACTTTTTTAATAAATTGTAGTTTCTGATGAGGACGGCAGCGCTGTCGAAACGTAAAAAGAGAGTTTTTTAATTTTTAACTTCCTTGACTCAGTGTGATCGATTACATCAAATTCTTACTATTTAATACGACTGAGTGATAGAATAAATCCATTATTCTTAATAAAATATAATGTTTTTAATTATAATTAAACTGCAAGTAGTACAAGTAAATGTATAGTCTGACAAAATCATCATTTAAAAATAAAAAATACTGTTTTTTGAATACCAATTCTTTAAGTAGTACAAGTGAAAGTACAATCATACAAAATCAACTTGAATTTAAATTACTATTAACATACAGTTTGTTTTTCATTTAGGGATTTCGTCTGATTATACCTTGACGTCTTTTTATTATAATTCAATTTCAAGTAGTACAAATCAAAATACAGTCAGACTTAATAGAGTAAAAAATTAAATTATTATAAAAGATTTAATTTAAAGATCAATTCGTCTTAATTAATGCAAAATTTCTATGAACAAAAATAAATGATCAATTTTTCTCAATGTAGACAATTTGAGGAAGTTTTAAAAAAAGTATCTAAGTTGAGAGTTGCTCATTTTCTTGTTGTTGATAGTGGGGAAAGAAGAAAGAGAGAGAGAGAGATAGAAAGGGTTATAAGTTAACAAGAAGCATTGAGCTTTTATTTCCTCCCTCTTTTATGGTTAAAAGGGACAGTTTGCTCCTTTTATCTGAAGTAAGTAGTTGTGTGAGAATGGCGAGAATGGTACGCAGAGAAAAGTATATATATAAGGATCGATGTTGGTTCGTTGAGGATCTATTTCGTCGATGCTTTCGAAGAGATTGCCGCTGCCTCTACCAGTGAACTAGTGTTATCAGGGCCTTTGGCCCAAGGGTTTTACCCTATCCCATTCGCTCGCTTTCTCTTGTATATATATAGTATATATATATCCTACAACTGACGGCGACGAAAGGATGGGAGGGGAAGGTTGAGGTTAGAGGGGGTGTGTCTACGGGTGCATTACGCTGATTGCTGGTCGCGGCCTCTCTGGAGAACAGAGAAGTAGGTGGAGAGTGGGAGGCTGTGCGCAAAGAGAGAGAGAGAGACCATAATCCTGATGTTTCACCCAAGGAAGAATAAAGAGAGAGAGAGAGAGAGAAAAGGAAAAATAAGTCTCTCTTTCTTCACTTCAAGTAAGTGAGCCGGCGTATACTTTTTCCGCGAAAAGCGTACTTGGATTTTAATCCTTTAAATGAATAACGTGGCTTTTACATTCACTGGGTATAGCTGGGATCGACCCGTCTCTCGCTTTTCCTCTTTCAACAAAAGCGACCTGTCCTTTTTGTCTCTCTAAATATACGTTAAATTCGTACAGAGTCGTGCATTCTTTGACAATATGCCCGCACTTTGCCCCTATTTCTCTCTTTCTCTCTAACTTTCTTATTCTCGACTTATTTTTTGAAAAGGGGAAATTATCAATTCTGCTTTTTGTTCACTAAAGTTTAAGACACTTTTTTGTCTAAGGGAAAAGAGGTTATGAATTATAATTTTTAGGAAATAGTTATACGATAAAATATTTATATTAATAATTGTAATTTAACAACTATTTTAATAATTCAACTCGAATAAGTAGTACGAGTCAAGCAGTTTATAGTCAGACGAAATACACTTTTAAAGTTGAATTATTATTAAAAAATATTTTACTTTTTTAGTTGTGGATTTCGTCTGACTATACTTCAACTCATACTACTAAAAGTTGTATTTTTCTAAATAAAACAATAAAATATAGTGTCTTTAATTATAATTAAATTGCAAGTAATAAAAGTCAAAGTATAGTCGGACAAATCGGTAATTAAAAAAATGTTTTTTTAAATCCAACTTTAAGTAGTAAAAGTCAAAGTACAATCATACAAAATCAACTTGAATTTAAATTATTATTAACAAATAGTTTGTTTTTAATTTAGGGATTTCGTCTGATTATATACGTTGACTCCTTCTACTTAAAGTAGAATTATTTTTATTTAAATGATCAGAATATTATGTTCTTAATTAAAGTTCAAGTGGTATGAATCAAGATAATGTCAGACAAAATCGACAATTAAAATAGTAAAATTAATTTTTTAAAACTAAACTTTAAGTAGTACAAGTCAAGATACAGTCCGAGAAAAATAATTTCAAGTTAAATTATTATTAAAAAACTCTTTTGTTTTTAATTGTGGATTCTGCCTGACTATACTTTGACATATACTACTTAAAGTAGAATTTTTTTCCAGAAAACAATAGAATATAATGTTTTTAATTATAAATAAACTTTAAGTGGTGCAAATCAAGATATTGTCTGACATAATTGACTAATTAAAATTTAAAATTGTTTTTTTTAAATCCAACTTTAACTTTAACTTTTTACTTTAACTTTAAGTAGTAGGAGTCAACGTACAGTTACACAAAATCAACTTAAAGTTGAATTATTATTAAAAAATAGTTTGTTTTTAATTTAGGTATTTCGTCTGATTATACTTTGACTCCTTCTACTTAGATTAGAATTATTTTTAATTAAATTAATAGAATTTTATGTATAATTAGTCTTGAAGTAGTACCAATCAAAGTACAGTCAAACCTAATCGATTTAAAGTTGAATTATTATCAAAGAATACTTTACATACGTAATTTCTGCGTTTCGTTTGACTATACTTTGACTCGTTCTACTTAGAATAGAATTGTTCTTATTTAAAAAGCAGAATATTATTTTTTTTAATAACCATTTAATTAACCTCCAAGTAGTAAAAGTCAAAGTATAGTCAGACGAAGTCGGCAATTATTAATGTAAAAAAATTGTTTTTTAATACAATTTTAAGTAGTACGAGTCAAAGTACAATCAGACAAATTTTAATTAAAACCGTTTACTTTAAAAGTTCAAAACTAATATTAGCAAAAATTTTAGAAATCATCAACTACTTTAAAAAAAATATGTCGAAGAGTTAAACAATCACAGAAAAAGTTTTTTATTTCAAATAATATATTGCTCTAACAAAAAAACCTAAAATTTCTTTTTCAAAGTTTTTTCGATTTAATTTCATTTGTTTTAAATAATTTCCATTAAATTAAAAATTTTTTCATTGAATTACAAGTAAAGTTGCGTAAAAATAATTTCACCTTTTTTTTGAATAAATATTTTTTTAAAAGAAAAGCAGGAATAACTTGCGACAAAAACAATGTTATTTATGAATTTTCTTCTTGCAAACCTGTTTTCAAATTTATCTTCGTTACATGAAACACTGCGTTAGAGAAAGTTATACACATTTTATAATTAGAAACTATAGAGGTGGAAACATTGAAAACTTTATATATTAACATACAATGACTATATATAACACTCTTAAAATATTGTAATCGTTCTTCTTTGTTTTGAAAACTTTTATGGGAATTTTCTTCAACTTTTTATTACACCATTGAAATCAATATAATTGAAAGTTTCATTCACAATATATATATATATATATATATACATTTCATTTGCATGAAGCAATAAAGACTTTTCTTATACTTTACTTACTTTTTTAAAAACTGCAATTTAAATTTATTTTTCCACAACGACTTTCACATAGTATTTTATTATTATTTTATTTTCGCCACAAAAAGATGAGAAATATGAAATTTTACCATCACATCAAAAAAAAAATATACTTATACACAAATTTTCATTTTTATTAGAAATTTTACGTCTTGATGGAAAAATAAAATTTTCTACATTCTTACAAAAAATGTACCAATATATATATAGCTGATAAATATTTAAAATGAATAGAAATTTTTGCAATCAGTTTTTATGTGGGGAAAATTTTAAATTTATTACTAGAAATTATGTATATATGTATATAGTATAGTATATTATATATAAAGGTGAATCTAAATTCCTCAGAGGAGGATTATTAGATTACGAAATAGATGCATGAAATATGAGATCTGGTGTTAATATCACTGTCAGGAATTGCGCATAGACATTGAGGTGTTTGCATACATACTAGATCAGATTTCCACCATCTTAGCTGTTTGTATGTAAGCTAATCTTATTCTCCGTTTGAGTAAGCATATATCTTCCTCTTGAAACGAGAAGAGAGGAAATTAAAATTCTTCAATTTCTTCGTTTTTACATAATAAACGCGGCTATATATTGGAAAAGAAAACGGAAAATATAAATAATTTTTATAAAAATATAAAATAATACTAAAATGAAAATAAAAACTATTAGCTTTAAATAATAATAATAATAATAGTTAAACTCCAAGTAGTATGGGTCAAAGTATATAGTCAAACGACATCGACAATTGCGTTGAATGATAAAATTTATTTTATCACAATTTTATTATTATTTAAACAATTATTATTAAACTCTAATACAAGTCAAGCTTTAAGTAGTACAAGTCAAAGTACAGTCAGACAAAATTAATTTAATGTTAAATTAATTTTTAACACATTTTCGTTTTTAATTATGGATTTCGTCTGACTATACTTTGACACAAACTACTCGAGGTAAAATTATTTTTAAATAAAACAAGAGAATATATTTTTAATTGTAATTGAACTGCAAGTAGTACGAATCAAAGTATAGTCAGACGAAACTGATAGAATCGATAGAGAAAAAAAAGCGAAGAATATAAACAATCATAGAAAAATATTTTTTATATTATATAAAAATACTTTTTTTTTAATAGAAAAAAAATTGAAATTCAATTTTTCTTATTTATAATTGTTACAGCCAATTGGAATGCACTTGAAGAAATACGAATGGGTTGGCTCGCCAGACGTTGGCGATTGCTCACTGTTGGTGAGATCAGCAACTTTGGAATTTGATGATGGTTTATGGCAATGCCAGGTCACGGCTAGTGATTTCACTGCACAGGATGCTTTAGCTTCGGAACCAGCAAGACTCGTAGTGCGAGGTATCAATTTTTATTCACAATTTTTCATAATTTTTATTTATTTATTTATTTTTTTTACTTTAAATATAAATTTTATTAGTACATAAATAATATTATAATTACTATGTTTATCATTTTTATTATTAGGCACTTAACATTGCAGACTATTGTGAACTGACCTTTATAGAAAAATAAGACTGAAATAATGACTAAAATTAATAATTAATAATAATTAATAAATAATTATTAATAATAATAATATTTTTCTGAAATAAATAAATGAGTACAATATCATTATTGTTTGTTTTTAATAATTTTTTATTTTTGCTACTGTGATTTTACTTTTATTATTATTGTTAAAAAATGTATTCTGTTTTTATTATTATTATTATTATTATTATTATTATTATTATTAACAAAATTATAAATTAATTTGTACTATTTTTAATCCAGGTGTGATTGTATGTGTTTATTATTAAAATCCCTCTAATCGTGTTAAGAAATACTAATATAAAAGCAACCTTAAAATGATAATTGAGAATATGAAAAATTTATTTGTTCAAAATAAAAAGCAGAAAAAAAATGGAGAAATTTAAAAGTAAAATTCATCAAGTGAAGATGAATATTTGAGAAAACGAAAATCAAATAATAGAGGAAGAGAATAATAATATAAAGACAAAAAGAAAAAGGAATTTTTGTTATTCAAGATTTTTGTGTGTGTCTATCTGGCAAATATACTCTTGGCTTATCTACTCATGAAGTCGAGATATCTTATTTCATAATCATAATCCTGAAAAATTCAATTTCAAGTTTGGTTACTTTCCAAATTGAGAGTAATAAGAGAAATTTTTTTCTAATGTTCTCATTTATCTTCAATGCACGCGACACACTCGACATTAATTGAAAAATTTCAATTATCAAGAAAAGGAGAAAATTTTCAATTTTCTAATTCATATAATATTAGTATCTAGACTCATTGTTTTTTATTTTCAGTATTTTTTTTTTAATTTTTACATTTTTATCCTTCATTTTACTTGTTTTCTTTTTATTTCTTCTTTATTGAACATTTTTATTTTTTATGCAATTATTTTTTCTATTTTTTTTTTTTATTCATTTATTTTTATTCATTCTTTTTACTCTTTTCATTTATATGAAAAATTGTATTTATTATTTTAACAATGAAAAGGAAAATTATTTTTTCGAATACAAGTGATTAAAAAAAAATTGATAGAACTAAAAACAAAGTTTTGAATACACTCTCTGCTGCATGTCGTCAGTAGAGCAGGTCAATAAACTACCAGACATTTATAAATGGACTACAAAACAAGCTGTAAAGTAAATCGAAAATAAATGAATTGTAAAAATAAATTGTTAACGAACAATAAAGATTTTTCGCTTTCAATTATTTTCACAAGCAATAACATTTTTTTGAAAATTCAATTATTTATGAAAATTTAAATAAAAATCCAAGCAAGAATACAATTATTTTCGCATAAATAATAAAATGCTTCTCAAGAATTCAATTACTTGTCAAAATATTAATAAAATTCTTCACAAATATTAAATTATTTTCACAAATAATAAAATTTTTCACGAGAATTAAATTATTTAAGAAAAAATTAAATAAAATTCTTTGCAAAAATCCAATTATTGTCATAGATAATAAAATTCTTCTAAGAAATTCAATTATTTAGAAAAAAATTGATAATTTATTTAATTGAAAAATTCTTTTATAAAAATTCAATTATTTCCATAAATAATACATTTTTTTTAAAATGGTAAATTTTTTACAAGAATTAAATTTTTAGAAACATTCAATTATTCTTTATTTATTTTTGTATTTAAATAATTGAATTTCAGTTTAACTTTCTAATAAGAATTGATTTAAAAACAAATTTCAGTTGAAATTTGAGATAATTGAATATTAAAAGTGTTACAGTACATTTTTTTTTAAAATAATTAAATTTTAAAAGATTATTAAATTGAAATCGTTGAAAATTTTAATTGTTCAACTGTAAGAAAATTTAAATTTTTACTTTAAAAAATAATTAATTTATTATTTTCTTAATTCCTGTAAACAATTTAAATTAAATTTTATATTTTAAATAATTTTATTTGTTTACTTTTAAAAAAATTACTTTTAAATACAATTGTATTTTTGAAGATAAAAATTTAGAAAATAATTAAATTTTTCATAAATTTAGAATTAAAGTTCTCAGCAGAATTAGAATAAAAATAAATATTTTTGATAGATTTCAGGAATCAGTCAGGAAAATACTGAATCAAATTTTTGTGAATCGAGTAAAATAATTTTTTTTTAATTAATCGAGTGTGAAGCCTGTAATTAATAATATAAAAATAATAAATAAATAAATATTAATATTATTACTAATAATACTAGTAATAAAATAGTAGTAAAAAGTAGTAGGAAAAAAATTTAAAATTGTAATAGAAAAACTTAAAATATTATAAAAATATGTATAGTACTAGCAAAAATGAAACTTTAATAGTAAATGGAAAAAATAGTAAAATTTAGTAAGTACTAAAAGAGAACAACATTAATTAACCAGTAATAGTAAAAATAAAAATAGTACAAATATAGTTAAAGAAAAAAATAACAATAATAAATAACCAATAATAGTAAAAAATTAAAATAGTGTAAGAATAGTAATATTTAAAAATGACAATAGTAAATAACCAATAATAGTAAAAAATTAAAATAGTTTAAGAATAGTAATATTAAAAAATAACAATAGTAAATAACCAGTAAAAGTAAAAATTTTAAATGCTAAATAATAGTAAAAAATAGTAAATGTAACAGTATTTATATTAATAATAATAGTAATTAGATAATTAACTTTCTTTTTTACAAAAAAGCAGAAAAATTGAATTTCAAAAAAAGAAAAAAAAAATAGGAAAATTGAGTGAATTTATTTTTGAAAATTGCGCATGAAAAAATGGATCGATAGCAATAATAGAAAATGTTCTGTGTCAACAAATATCGCTTGCGTAAACAGAAGAGCAGAAACGAGAGCTTACGAATTAATCTTTGCTAATTGTCTCATTCCAGTGAGCCCTCAGCGACCACAGATAGAGTACGCCGATAAACTAATTCTACCGGGTAGCAACGTGACAGCCCGTGCAGGTGAGACCGCCACGCTCAAGTGCACAGCGCGCTATGGGAATCCTTCGCCTCTAATTAAATGGTTCGTAAAAGTTGTATGTTGATTCCACAACATTTAATATAAAATATATACATATACATAATAATTTAAATTATTTTTTCCAACCCCTGCAGCTTTCATTGAAAAGAAAAAATGCCGCCAACTCTTTACACTCTTTTTTTCTTTCGCGCTTTCTGTATTAAATTTCTTTCGGTGTGAAAAAAAAAGAAAGAAAGATGAAAACGAACAAATTTTGTTTTGATTTATTAATAATTTTAGTAAATCCTATTAATTCATTTTAAATTTAGTATTTAATTATTTATTATTATTTATTAACAAATATTCATTGTTAACTGAATTTTTAGAAATTTACTTTTAAAGAAACTAAAAGAACCTAAAAATAAATAAGTTGAAATAATTTTTAACAGTTGGGAATTTATTTTAAATAGGTATAATATTCGTAAACTAATTATCTCCTAATTATTATAATATAGAAAATATTTATTATGATTATGGAAAATATTATTATAATATGGAAAATTAGCTTCAATAAAGCAAAAAAATTTCTTTCAATATTTTTTGCTAAATTGTCGTTTTTTAACAGTAATTTTTTAACAGTAAATTGTCGTTTTTTAACAGTAATGAATCTATTTACGATTTAATATTCAAAAAGCTCGCATTATCTGATAATTATTAATATAATGAGAAACTTGCACCAAAGAAAAAAATTTTCATTAATTCTTAACAGTGATAAATTTATTTACGATTTAATATTAAAAAACTAATCAACTGTTAATTATTAAAATGTTGAAAAATTCCTCAAAGGAAATCGCTTTAAATAATGTTTAACAGTAATAAATTTATTTATGATTCAATCCTATTCGAAAGCCAATTTTATGCTAATTATTAAAATATGAAAAACTTCCTCCAAAAAAAATGTCTTTGAATAATTTTTAACAGTAATGAGTTTATTAAAAACAAATTATCAATATATGAAAATTTCCTTCAAAGGGAAAACAAAAATTATTTTAAATATTTTTTAACAAAATAAATTCATTTTAAATTAAATATTCAAAAACTAATTATCAACGTATAAAAATTTCCCCAAAAGAAAAAGAAAAATTACTTTAAATAATTAATTTTTATTTAATAAATGGTTTTTAAATTTTTTATTTTGAATTTTATATTCAATAATTAATTTTTAATTAATTTTTGTAATTAATGGTTATTTTTATATTAATAATTTAAAAGAATTAATAATAGAATAAAAATTTGTTTTAATGAGGAATTGTTACTTATTAATTATTAATTATTAATTATTAATTATTAATAATTAATTATTAAAAATAGTAATTAAACTCCCTTTTCTTTCTCTATTTTTCAATTAATTTTTTCAGTTTCACTAATTTGAAATTAAATTAAAAAAATATTTTAAAAAACTTCTGAATATTTTTTTATACCACTGAAATTGTGAGATTTATTTTTTAATCCCAGGAATTAAACGTAATTATCAAAGGAACTTAAATTGAGCGATATTTGATTTTATAATAGGAATTTATTTTTATTTTATTTTTATTTTTTTTATTTTTTAGCTTCTTTGAAATTGTAAAACGCAGATTATGAATGTTTTATCCATCTCTGTATAAAAGGTTTAAAGTAAAAAATCCTTTACGGAAATAAGAGAGAGAGACAGAGAGACTGAGAGAGTTTGTCGTCATCAGCACGGCATTTTATATTCTATGAATAATCATGATTCATCTGAGATCTTTTTCAAACATAAAAAATGGAGAAAAAAAACTTTTTTTTTCACTCCCTTGTCTACTCATAAACAATAAAATAAAAAATAAAAAATAATGCATAGTGGAAACGCAAGAAAAGGGAAAATTTTATTTTTAGAATAAATATTTTGTCTTTTTCTTTGCTTTTGATTTATTTATTGATCATTTTTTTGTTGATTCTGTATTAGACGACAAAATTTTTTATTTTCTATTTTTCATTGTTCTCTTGTCAAATTTTTACTTTTACGTTTATTTTATTTTTAAATTATTTTATTTTTTTTCGTATTTTTTTCTGCAGTTTCTTTCTTTATTTTTTTTTTACTTTTTTTTTTATTTTTTATATCTTTATAATTTTTATAATTTATAATAAGTTTTCAAAGAAGAAATATTTATATAAAAAATAATTGTTTTCCTATCTTTCAAAATCAAAATAAGCGAAAACGTTTATAACTTCTGCTATAGAAAAACTTTTTTGAAACATTTTTTTTTCTTTTCTCCTTTTTTTGAAATACGCTGAAAAATCTAAAATGAAAATTAAATTTGATAAGTTTTCGAGTGAGCAAACACTTTTTGATGTGATTTCCATCTATTTGAATATGTATCACCATATTTGCCTTCTATGGGTAAAATTTTCTCTCTTCATATGTTAAATTATTCTTCTTCATGTACATAATACTAATATTTTTTTTCCCCTCGGTAAATCCTGAAAGATATATTATATATGTTAGTTGAGATTATAATGTGTGTATTTTAAAATTTATTTCAAAGGGGAAAGAAAATCTTTTGAAGTATTATTGAAAAATCACTGGAGGAGAAAGTTTAAATAAAGTTGTGCAAATAATATTCTTTTATAGAAAAAAAAAAAAATGTCATCCTCTTTATTTTATTAGACATTTCATTGTGAATTATATTTTATTATTACTTGTATTTTATTCTATTCTATTTTTTATTTTATTTAATATTAGGTAATATCTTTTTATTATTATTTTCTTTATTATTATTATTTTTCACTTTATTCAATTGTACTTTTTATTTTCTTTAGAAATATTTATACTTATTTTATTATAAAAGAAATCAATTTTTGGGGAGGAGGTGAATTTTTGGAACGGGGTAAAAAACAGAAAATAAAATATAGAAAAAAAAGAAGAATCTAATTAAAAAAAAGTGAGAGAAAATTATTGTTTCTTTTTTCTTTTTAGATAAAAAAAAATGTGAGATTAAAATTTCTTTTCTCTAGGGGGGGTGAGAGGAGTGAAAAAATAGAAATATAATTTTAATTTGGTGCTCCAGGTGAGAAATTACGAAATCAGTTTAATATTATCTCGTTCGGTTTCTAAAGCCAAAACACCAGCTGAAATGGCAAACTCGAAATTATCTTGAAGCCTTTAAAGACACATAACATGAAACCACTGAAGCCACACTGTTACAAATTCCGCCATGAGAGAAGCATCTCTTCCTACAAGCCATCTTTGCTGGGAATTACCTTGACTAACTTAGAGTATAATTCTACCCTCACACACACACACACACACTCACACACAAATACATTTTAGAGAAACATGTTAGTATAATTACTCAACAGCTACTACATACTCTCCTAAATGGATTTTCTCATAAAAATATAGATCTTAACTTTATCAAAATAAAATTCAAAAAATCTATTTAGTGAAAAATAATTTAAAATTATTATATAAAATATACTGTAAATAAATTAATAACTAAACAAATAAATAAGTAAGTAAAGTAAATTAACTATTTACTAATTTACTAATAAATAGTCATTTTTACTAATTTATTAATCAAATAATTCAAATTTAGTAAAAAAAATTTACTAATTCGAATTTAATGAGTAATAATTATTGTAAAAATAATAATAATACTAAAAACTAATAATAGTAAAAAATAATAATAATAAACAATATTAATAGTAAAAACTATTAATAGTAAAAACTATTAATAGTAAAAAGATTCATTCTAATAAAAATTAATTATTGTAGAAAATAGTAATGAAAATTGTATGGTAATGAAAATAGTAATAATGAAATGAATATTTGTATCGATAAACAAAAATTTGCAAAAGCTATTGAATAATAATTAATTAGTAAATTTATTAAGCGAAAAATTAATATTAAATTTACATAATCAGAGCTAAAATTCAAAGAAAAATATTTGCGTAATTTAATTGTTAATTATCTCGCATATTAAACAAAGAGGAAATTAAAAATCTCCCTTTTTCCGAATTTACAATGTTAATTAATTTTTATTCCCTGTTAAGCATTTTTATTTAAACGTTATTTAATTGAATAAATTCTTTCTACTTTTCTATATAAAATGTTTCCTAATTGAAAATTATAATTTTTTCTCTCTTTACAGAGAAACGTAAATTTTGATTAAAGCAGAAATGAATTTTCGTGAAAAATTTATCAATGAGAGAAGGGAAAATTTCTTTTTAAATGCCTCCTTCGTTTCTTTAAAACCGCAAAGATCAAATGGAAAGAGTTTATATATACACATATATATATATAGAATCCGAAACTCCGAAATCGTTGGACTTCATGAAAGGAAATGAAAAAAAATAAGGAAAAAAGAAAGTGGGAGGGATATAGCCGTGGGAAGGAAACCAAGTAAAGCTAAAAAGCGTATAAAAAATAGAGGAAAGAAAAGAATGAACAGAAAAAATCCGAGAAAAGGAAGAAAACAGAACACAAAGCCAGTAAATGCTTTCGGGAATACTTTAGCACAAGGACTTAGAAGTCGTTGCTATAACAAGCTAAGCACTTACATCTACGAAATAAGATTGTTTTCAAAACACATAGTCACTGGAATTCAAAAGGGGGATTAAATCAGATTATAAGAAAAATGTTAATTAAAAAAAAAGCATACAACTTATTCACTTTTTAAAGCAAAGAAAAAAAAATTTTTTTGGAAAAAAAGAGGAAAATATTATTTAATAAAAATAACTAGCAACAATTCGCGCGCCTAACTTCTCACTCACTTTATTAAATAAAATTAGCAATTTTAAAAATAATAGAAAGTAAAAAATTTTTAATTCAATGTTACGATACATTCAAAGTATCGTTTTTTTTTATTATTGATTTAAAAGTTATACTTTGAAAAATCGGATCTCTATTTGATTATTATTTTTTATTATGTGTTTTTTTTTCTTTTTATGTAAATTTTATCAAATTTCCATTTTAAATTAATTTAATTAGAAATTTAAATGAACTTGGATTTTTGAAAAATTTTAATAATTCAAAAGCTTCTAAAATTAGTTAAATTTGTCAATATATATTTAATTAATTATTAAAAATAATAGATTTATTAGAAGAATTTTAGTTAAAAACACTACAGAAAATTGAATTTTGAAGAAGTTACAAATAATTGCAGAAATTCAATTATTTTCAAAAGTAATAAAATTATTATCACGAAATTCTATTATGTTTAAAATTTACAAGAAAATCTCGACAAAATCCCAATTATTATCTTTATAAATAAAAAAATTCTTGTTCAAAATTCAATTATTTTCAAAACTTTTAATTAAATTCTTGTCAACAATTATTTTCAAAAAATTTCCCCATTTCAATGATTTTCTATATCTACTATTTTAATAAAATCACCCAAAAAAATTAAATTATTTAAAAACAATTTTAATAAAATTCTACGTAAACATTTAATTATTTTCATAAATAATAAAAATTTCACAGGAATTCAAATATTTATAAATTTTTTATAAATTTCTTCGCAATAATTCAATTATTTTCATGAATAATCAAATTTTTTACAGAGATTCAATTTTTTCATGAATAATAAAACTTGTAGAATTTCAATTATTTTTAATACAAATTTTTATCAAAATCCTTGAAAAATGTAACTATTCTAAAAAGTTTTATTAAAATTCGTCAAAAAAATACAATTATTTAAAAATTTGTAAATAAAATTCTTTATAAGAATTAAATTTTAAGAAACATTGAATTATTCAATAAATAATTTACTTTTGTCTTTAAATAATTAAATAAAATAAAATTTTTCTATATCTACTATTTTAATAAAATTTTTCAAAAGAATTTCAATGATTTAAAAACAAATTTGATAAAATTCTAAGTAAACATTAAATTATCTTCATAAATAATAGAATTTCACAGAAATTCAGCTATTTACAAATTTTTTATAAATTTCTTCGCAATAATTCAATTATTTTCATAATAATCAAATTTTTTACAAAGATTCAATTTTTTCATGATTAATAAAACTTGTTGTAGAATTTCAATTATTTATAATCCAATTTTAATCGATTTCCTCGAAAAATGTAATTATTCTTGAAAATTTTATTAAAACTTGACAAGAAAATACAATTATTTAAAAATTTGTTAATAAAATTCTTTATAAGAATTAAATTTTAAGAAACATTCAATTATTTAATAAATAATTTACTTTTCCATTTAAATAATGGAATAAAATTTAATTAATTTTATAAAACTTTTCGAGTCTTCGACTCGAAGTGATCGATTTCTTTATGTCTTATAACAATATTTTTAAAGTTAATTAATTTCGAAAAAGTTTGAATTTGAATGTTTAGAAGAATTTTAATTCCTATGGTAAAATAATAAGAATTAAATATTTAAAATATTTAAAAAAGAAATTATTATTTTCAAATAATTTTGCAATTAAAAGGAATTCGTAAATAAATGTAACAGAACATTTTTTTTAGCAAAATTTTTTTCTTTTTTTTCTAAGAATTCAAAAATTTTCAGTTTCATGTTCAATTAAATTTTCTAATTGACAAATATAATAATTATAAACATTTTTTTCCCTTTATTTTTAAAAAACTTTGAATTTTATTAAAATTAATTGAAATTAAGAAATAGAATTGATGCAAATTATTTCCTTAATGAAAACTGAAAATTTTCGACAAAAATATTAAGAAACGGGAATATATAATGTTTTTCTTCCCCCCCCCCCAAAAAAAAAAGAAATGAGTTTGTAAACAATATTGTTATTGAGTAATAAAAATTATGCATAAAATGGATATATTTCCTACTTCTTAATCATAATTTTTTAAAAGTGAACAATTTTCCAGTATTTTTCATAAATATAAAAAGGAGAATAATTTGCATAATAATTTAGATCAGTCAAACAAAATTTGTTATAAAAAAATGCATATAACAAACAAAATTTGCTTCTGTAAAGAAAATTTTTCTTTTTTTTACAAAAGAAACTTCTTTTATTCATATAAAAAAAATTATCTTCCATTGCTTCTATAAAACAACCGTTTTGATTATATATTCTAATTTTTTTAAAAAAAACTATTTCACTCAAATTTTGAATTAAAAACCATAAATTTAAAATAGAGCTTGAATTTTTATTTTTTCATATATTCAGAGAATTTATTCTCCATAAAGTCCATTATTATTCTCCTCCAGCACCACGAGTTCGCATTATACAAGAGGAATATAGGGGAATTAATATCAAAATTTTGATTGAATATAAATTTTGGAAAACCACTCACTATACATTTATAATATTATGTAAAATTATACATTGAAAATAATAGTAGGTATTGGAACTGTGCGAAAATATACATTGTGTGTATGTTAATGGGTATGGAAACTCTATTGGTAAAATGTAAATTTCAATTCTCTCATAGGTATTTGGGTGAGAAGGAGCAGAGACCAAGTTCACCTCAGGTCAATTCAACGGAGAGTGATAATCCCCGCACTTGGGCAACGTACAGTGTTTGCAAGATTTTGGCTGAACGATCACGTTACGGACAGCCAATACGTTGTGTCGCCATACATCCGGCGTATACGAATCCAAGTATGTCGTCCAGTTCGGAGGTGCGATTCGACGTTCGATGTGAGTATCCTAATATACACTATACTGACCCATTCTTCAAACCCTCCCCCCCCCCTCCTTGCTAATTACGCACATAGCAATAGCCTGAATTCCACTATATAAGCAAAGCTGGAATGCTTGTGTCCTAACTACCTTAAAGGGATTATATGCGCTTCTGCGCGAAATTAACCGCCTCTAATTTACAGAGAAACACTATTAAGACGAGTCATTAACCGAGAAATAATAATAATTAATCTAAATAATAATAACCAGTGCAGAAATTAAAATGTGGGCCTGATAGGGTACTGGACAATTGTTTATAATTTTATTATGGGAACTAATTTAAAAAACTTAATTCATTTACACTTTATTCAAACGAGAAAAACTGTCGAGGCCCTGATCAGAGCCCTATTTAATATCTAGTGAACACCTCACTTGGGGTTTTGGCAAGAAATTCTGGTCAAACCCACAAAATAAAAAAATTATTAAAACGATAGTATAATTACTCTCTTTAATTGTATTCTTCAATTGTTCATTATTTTTTATTAAAAGTAATTTTGGAGATTTAATTTTTTTACACTTTATTTAAACAAGGAAAACTGTCGAGGCCCTGATTAGTACCCTATCTAAAATCTAATGAACACCCTACCTGGGGTTCTGGCTAGAAATTCTAGTCAAACCCCTAAAATAAAAAAATTATTAAATAACTAAAATAATGATTGCCTTTCATTGTTAATAGCTTCTACAACAAAAAGGAATTCTAAAAACTTTATTAAAAAAAAAAAATTTAATAGGGAAAACTGTCGAGGCCCCGACCAGAACCCTGTTTTAAATAGGGCAAAGTGGGGCATTTTCTGCACGGGTAATAATGATGATAGTACTATATTCGTAATAGTAATAATAGTAATACTAGTAATAATAAAAGAAATTAATAATAATATAATAATAATAAGAAACTAATAGTGATGATGATAGAAATTATTATTATTATTATGAACTATATTACTTTATTGCATACATGCAAATATTTTGCCAAAGTCGTAGAACTATTGTTACAAATACTATTCTCCTTATAAAACTGATTGTTACTTCCATTTACTTTCGCAGAAGGTTTTAACTGTTTTTGAAATCGTTTAACATTTCGTCTGATTAAAATATTGTTACACTACTGCGAAGAAAATTAAGAAAATTAACTACTAGATGTCTGATTAAAAATTTACTTTTACTACTAGAAAAAAGAAAATCAAAGAATTAGACGAAATTGTCTGACTAAAACAAATGTTATACTACTGAAAATAAATAAAAAATTAATTTAATTTTTTTATTTTATTTGTCTGACTAAAATATTGTTACACTACTGCGAATAAATTTGAGAAAATTTACTACTAAATGTCTGACTAAAGATTGACTTTTACTACTAGAAATACGAATATCAAACAATTAGACGAAATTGCCTGACTAAAACAAATGTTATACTACTAAAAGTAAATAAAAAATTCGATTAATGTTTTTTTTGTTTTATTTATTTTATTTTATTTAATTCGTCTGACTAAAATATTGTTACACTACTGCGAAGAAATTTGAGAAAATTTACTACTAAATGTCTGACTAAAGATTGACTTTTACTACTAGAAATACGAATATCAAACAATTAGACGAAATTGCCTGACTAAAACAAATGTTATACTACTAAAACTAAATAAAAAATTCGTTTAATTTATTTTTTTATTTTAATTTTTTTAATTTGTCTGACTAAAATATTGTTACACTACTGCGGAGAAAATTGAGAAAATTTAGTACTAGATGTCTGACTAAAAATTGCCTTTTACTACTAACAATACGAATATCAAAGAATTAGACGAAATTGTCTGACTAAAACAAGTGTTATACTACTAAAAATTTATTACTGATACTACGTAACACTTGTCTAAATTTATTTAATATTTTTCCGACTTAAATTTTTACAGATTACTAAAAGAACGAATATCAAAAATTAAAAAAAAAACAATTGCCTGACTAAAGCAATGTTATACTACTGACAATTTGCAGGGTTGACACAATAATTTAATTTCGTTTTCCCCTAACTTTTCTCTGTTTTCCAGTCGAAGTTTTGACTTTTTCCCACACCTTAAAGAAATATTTTGATTCACTCTAAAAATGATTAAATACTCAATAAAAATGTTCTATTACATTTATTTACAAATTTCTTTAATTTTAAAATTATTCGAAAACACCAATAAGTTGATTTTTAAATTAATAATTAATCACTATTATTTTTCCATAAAAATTAAGATTTTTAAAAATTTCACATTCAAATTTTATTTTAAAATTCAACAACTAGTAAGAATATTATTATAAAACATGAAGAAATCGATCACTCCGAGTCGAAGAATCGGAGTGATAAATTCCTTCGTATTTTATAATAATTAAAGATAACCGAGTGATGAAATTATTATTTTATATCATAAGAATATTGTTTATTTAATTTCTTCAAAATTATTTTCTTCATTTTAATTCAATTATTATTTTCTAGAATTTTTAACTAAAAGTTTTTATTTAGTAATTTTTAAAAAAGATCTTTGCGAATTTTCAAATCCCTTTGTTAACAATTTCATTTTTGCGAAATTTCGATTATTCGCAAATTTTTCAATTAAATATGCATTTAAAAAATATGAACTTCAAATAATTTTAAAAAAAAATGTTATTTAAACTTTTTCATAAAAAATTAATTCTACAGAATTTTTAGTTAAATCTATGAAAAATATAAATTTTCAATGATTTTAATTTGAAACATTTTCAAAATTCAATTATTTACAAAAATGCATGCTATAATATTTAAACTATTTAATTATTATCTAAAACATCAATGAAAACTAATTTTTAATTCAATTTGTATTAGAAAATTCTACGAGACTTGAATTATTTAAATAAAAAAATTAAAAATTTATTAAATAAAAATAATTGAATGTTTCTTAAAATTGAATTCTTTTTAAGAATTTTATCATTTTTTAAATAATATAATTCTTTTGACGAATTTCAATAAACTTTTTAATAATTACATTTTACGAGGAATTCGATTAAAATTGTTTCAAAAATAATTGAAATTCTGCAGTGAGTTTTATTATTTATGAAAATAATTGAATTCCTAAAAATAATTTTATTATTTATTGAATTGAGGGAAAATTTTTAAAAATTATTTTAAAACGTCAAGAATTTTATTAAAATTTTTTAAAACAATTGAATTTTGAAGAAGAATTTTATTGTTTATTAAAATAATTAAAATTTATTTAATTTAATTTAGACTAAATTGGCTGAATTAAATTAATTTTTTTTTTAAATTGTAATTTTCAATTTTTATGCAAAATTTACTATATTCAAAATCTGAAGAGTGTGTATAAAACTGATTTTTCTGCGACAAAAGAATAAGATAAGAAACGTCAAAAAGAACTTTTTTTTTCATGTATATATGACGCACTTACATAAAGAATGCACGAAAGGAAGAAATATTCATGAGAACTAATTTTTGTACAACTGTGAGAAAGCTTTTTGTCGCTTTTATATGAAGAATTTCTTTTCTCTTTCTCTCGAATATATATCTTTAAAAGTATATACATGCAGTATACTTTATTTGACATTCTCTTTTTATCTTTCTATTCGCGCAATATAGTACATACATTCCACTATTTTCTTCGTAACTCTCTAATAAGGGGCACTTTTTTTCTTCCCTTTACATCCATTCGTTCGTTTTTACTCATATACACAGCACCTATATATTTTTCCTAACATATTTCGTCCGTTAAATGTAAATAAAAGAAATAGTAAACAATTTGCACCACATTTATTTTTGTTTTTAAAAAGAGAAATAGCAACGAAACAATTAATCATTTTTTTCCAAGTAATTTTTTTTATCACTTGATAAATTCTAATTAATTTACCATTTCAATTTTTTTACATTTTTTTTTTCTAATTAAAACATTAATTTACATATACTACAGGAATGTTTGTGATAATTCTACGCTAAGTAGTGCGAGTCAGTGTATAGAGAAACAAAATTGAAAATTAAAAATTGTAAAATATTTTTTTTTATTCTACAAATTATTATTTTTTCCGCTTCGTACTTATAATAAAAAATTCACCAGCTAACTTCTTACTGCCTTTTTTTAAATAAAATTAGCAATTTTAAAAATAATAGAATTTAAAAATTTTTTAATTTAAATTTTTGTTGAAAACACTAAAAAAATATAAAATTCTGATGATTTGCATTTGTCATTACAATTTTGAATTAATTCTAAAATAAAAATAATTGTAACATAATGATATAATATACAATCTATCTAAAGATAACAAAAAACAAAAGTATAAACAAAAGACAACTTCAGAGTGTGAGGGACAGAAAAAAAGAATGAATGAAAGAACATTCAAATTATTATAGTTATTTAAAAAATTCTATATTATTTGTCTTTAAATATCAATTTTGTCTGATTGTACTTTGACTTATACTACTTAAAGTTGAATTATTGTTATTATTAATAAGTGTGTATTAAAAAGGCCTAATATGGTTATTTTTTTTTAAATTTCATATTGTTCTATTTTTTCCAAACTAGTTTTGAACATTTAAAGCAAACGGTTTTAACAAATATTTATTTAATTATTATTCTTAAAAATTAAATATTTTATTTAAATTATAAATTAACATTAGTTCAACTGCAAGTCGATTTTGTCTGACTGTAATTTGACCTGCTGCTGCTATACTTAAAGCTATATTTGAAAAAACAATTTTTTACTTTTTAATTTTTGATTTCGTCTGACTATACTTTGGCTATTACTACTTGAAGATTAACTATTAATATTATGAAATATTAATATAATAATATTCCATGTTTTCAAATTGAGAATCAGTATGAATTTACTTTGAGTAATTTCATCATTGATCATACTTTGACTCGTACTACTTAAAAATATTTTTTATTATTTTTTTTTTTTATTAATACTTTTTATTAAATTAATTATTATGAGTAAAT